TTTCTTAACGTAGGTTTTCTTTGCCAAAATTAATATCTCAAGTGATATTTCCAACTTTTTATTTAATCAAACAAATTTACAATGCTATGTTATTTCCGCCATTATAACAACTTCTCTTTACAACCTTACTCTGTTACTCCCCTTGTACATTGCCACTGGGGCGAGTCCATTAGTCTTACAGGTTGCAACTACACACTGTTGCAAGACTGACCTAAAAATCCTATATTATACAAAATGAAAAGTCCCAAACACGTAATACTAAAAAAAGTTTCCTCTTTTGAACGGTATAAAGATGTCCTATACTTAAGTCTCATATTTTTTGCGTAATTTACAATTATTTAAACTCTTCATCGGTATATTGATTTTAAAACAAAAGATATAGTTAGTTAATGTCATTGTATGACATTGTCATTTTCTGACATTACGGTCTGGTAATTTTCAAAATATAAACATTCGTGTGTAATATTTAACTTTCATTGTTCCTAAAAATGAAGAATTACGCTATCCATAAAAGAGTTGAAATGGTACTTTGCATTGGAGAATGTTTGGAAAATTATCTCTTAGCTTCTAAAGTTTATGCTCAAAAGTATCCTGATAACCACACAAGGAAGTTTTTGAGAGATTGCTTAATAGATTCCGTGCTACTGGTAATGTTGCATACGAAAAGGTAAATAATAATAAACCAGTTATTGGTGACAGCGTTAACGAACTTAATGTCCTGCTTTCTGTTACGGAAAACCCAAATATTAGTACAAGAAAAATTTCGGGTGAATTAGAAATTAGTCAAACTAGTGTATGTAGAATACTTAAGACCAACCACTTTCATTCGTATCACATTCAACTTCACCAGCATTTGACAGAACAAGATTATGGTAACCGTTTAAATTTTTGTTTATGGACTTTAGATAAAGTTGGAGAAGATCCTGATTTTTTTAGAAATGTATTATTTACAGACGAATCGACTTTTCATAATAATGGTCTAGTAAATAGACATAATTTTCATTATTATGACACAAAGTAAAGTAAAGTTCGTGTAACCTTCTGGCTAAGGTCTAGTGTTAGGGTTTTCAGGTAGCGCAAGCGCCCCTAACATGACTTAACGACTACTTTCGTAGCCGGGACCGACGGCTTTACGTGCCCTCCGAAGCACGGTGGCAGCTCCGTTAAATTAAAAATTGAAAATTTTGTCGGTGCCGAGATTTGAACCCAGGCCCTCCAGCTTGTTAAGCCAGTAACATAGCCACTGAGCTACGGCTGCCACTATTATTATGACACAGAAAATAAACATTTATTTCGTACTGTTGATCGCCAACACCGATGGAGTGTTAATGTTTGGGGCGGCATTATGGGCGAGTACGTTATCGGCCCGTATTGTTTTGACGGACATCTCAATGGGACAAATTTCCTAAATTTTTTAAAACAAGATTTTTAGACACTGCTTGAGAATCTTCCACTTAGTCTACGAACAAAAATATGGCTCCAGTTGGACGGACCTCCTGCTCATTTCTCACGTAATGTTAGGAACTACCTTAACAGAAAATTTACAAACAGATGGATAGGTAGAGGTGGTTCATATAATTGGCCCCTAGGTCACCAGGACTAACCAAGATGGATTTTTTTAAGTGGGGTTATATTAAAAATATTGTATATGCTACACCTCCTACTACTAGAGATGACATGAAATTAAGAATTACAAACGCGTTTGCTTCAATAACACCTGCTATGTTAAATAATGTAAGTAAATCATTCGAAGATAGAATCGCTTTTTGTATTGCACAAGATGGCAAGCAATTTGAACATCTGTTACATACCTAAACAATTTTTTAGTTATACTTTTGTTTGTTTATAAGTTCATTATTCATTTTGTATTATTTTGTTTTATTAAAATTCTTTCTGTTTTGTTATGTATTTAATTGTTTTCAAAAAAAGAGTGTGTGCTCGTAAGCACGTAAGAAGTTATAGGTACATCTTATTATTATTATCCAGATTTAGCCATACGGCTCACACTCCCTCAAAGGGGAAAATTCACTCATCCCAGATACCTACGGTATCAAAAGGATTGAGCTCTGGTGGGACTCTTTCCGTGTTATCGAGCCCTAGGTGACTTTATATGCTGGAGTATCTCCCAAAATTAAAATTTTCGTACACATCTGGACGTTGAGAGTAGTACAGCTTTCTGCATGGTCTTGTAGAGATGTTCATTCAGACCTATATTATATTATCCAGATTTAGCCATACGGCTCATACTCCCTCTAAGGGGAAAATTCACTCATCCCAGATACCTACGGTATCAAAAGGATTGAGCTCTGGTGGGACTCTTTCCATGTTATCGAGTCCTAGGTGACTTGGTACGTCGGTTTATCTCCTAAAAATTTTCGCACGCATCTGGACGTCGAAAGTAGCACAGCTTTCTGCATGACCTTATATAGATGTTCATTTAGACCCAGCTTTTTTATGTTTTCTAGGAGGTTCTTTGGAATGACTCCAGTCGTAGAAAGAATAATAGGTATCGTCTGGGTACTTTCCATTCTCCATTGTCTTCTTATTTGTATTTCCAGGTCTCTGTACTTGGCGATCTTTTCGTTGTACTTAACACGCAGATTATTGTTGTTAGGTATCGCCACATCGATTAGAGTTGTTTGTCTTGTTAGTTTATTAACTAGCACGAGATCTGGTCTATTATGTGCTACAGTTTGGTCTGTGAGCACAGTGCGATCCCAGTAAAGCTTGTAGTTGTCATTCTCAAGCATACTCTCTGGAACGTATTGATAATATGGGAGATGGTTTGTTTGTAGAAGTCCCAGTTTAATAGCTATCTCTTGATGAAGGATCTTCCCTACTGAGTCATGCCGTTCCTTATATTCAGTTGCAGCAAATGCCTGGCAGCCTCCGGTAAGATGTTGGATCGTTTCTTGGGCTTGACATCCATATCGGCATTTGTCGTTTTGGACCTGAGGGTCTTTGACAATTATTATAATTTTGACAATCTTATTATTATTATTATTATAATTTCCGTTTAATAAAATTTTCAATTACGGCAAAACTATCAGTCATAGTTATAGGACATCCATATATCGTTCGAAAGAGAAAACATTTTTCAAACTTAATAATTCATCACGAAGAAATACAACAGAGGTGGATGATGTTCTTAAAAACATTGCAAAATTTAAATAGAGATGCTATGTAGCACGATGACGGGGCGGGAGATGGACCAAGATTCTTTAATGAATGCTAAGAAGTGATAAACGCAGCCGTGGCAGATCTCCCATAGTCAGATGACATCAAGAGAATTTCGACGAAACGAGAGTTGCAACGAGACAAGACAGAAATAATTGGAAAAACCTTGAGAAGGCGTATGTCGAATTTGAATTGAATTTTATACTACATATCTACCAAAGTTAGAATTTATTAATATCTAATATATCACAAGTAAAGTTGATTAGATTGTGATATATATGATATCTATGATTTCGACTGACTTTTGATTTAGATCAATTTTTCAAGTCACTCTGCAAAACAAAAAAATATGATTATTTTTATTTAAAAATCAGTAAACGTTTGAAATTAATTAAAAATGTTTATAGTAGGATAAATATCAAGTAACTACATAATATGTTTACTTAAAAAATTCCCTAATCAGCGCATCGTCTCTCCAGCTAGCTGAGTGCTGGTGTGAGGTAATTAAATGTTACGACTTTTCGTCTGGGAACGTAGGGAGTATCATATTAATAATATTAGAACTGCGTAGATATAGTTACTCGAATTTGTACTACTAAAGCAAACTTTAAAGTCACACTTGTGTAATTTAATACAAACTTAAGTTATTTGTACTTGAAATTTAATTTAACCTCAGAGGTAAATAAACAACAACACGATACAAAAATTACATGGAATCATCCAATCCAATCCGAAAATTAGAATTTGTGAAACTTCACTATTCACTAATATCAACTTACATTGAAGAATACTGCCGATTAAGAGCGAACTGTACCGATCGTAAGTTCCAGTACTTGGCATTGGCAACAACGTCACTGTTCAGAGAATTAAATTTCGGGAAAATAAAAATATTAGAATATGATGTACGTGCTGCCATCTACTCAAAGAATTGTTAAACGTTAGTTTATTTGAATGCCACTCATTTTAACTACGGCGTGAACATACCCCCTTAAGTCTTTTTATTAAAATCCATGCCTCTTATTTGACTACTTGAAGAGAATTATTTATAAATATATGTATTTTATAATAAATATCTAACATCTCTCTGTATTATTTTAGTTTCCATTATAAATTAAAAACAGGTAGTTTTACTCATAACATAGCCCCGCCGTAAAGATCTTTGTACGGTTCTATACGTGATTACTACTTGTACCTGTTTGTGCTGCTAAGCACATGGTGTGAAATCCGGCAAACGCGCATTCCTATCTTAACCTTACAGCACTCTCAGTGTGAATTTCACTATAGTCGTTTATATATTAGTATTTGCAAACAGAAAGTTTTTAATGAAAATTAATGAATATACTCTCCATTATTCATGGTTATTCTTCTTTTTTTATGAAAGAAATCTGCAGCAGTAAGCTTATTCGCATTATTTATACTTAAAGGTAGGCATTCTTGTGTAGTATGTTTTTGACAATGAATCTGTTAAAATATTCCCAAGCTGAACGAATGAACAGCGAAGAGCAACTTCCCATTTAAAATAAACGGCCATACGTTCGAGAGCATTATATTATAATCTCTCAGACTCTACACAAAAACCAAAAAATATACATAAATTATATTCATTAGGAATGATTCATTAAAATAGATTAAATTTAAAATACGGTTCAAAAACAAAATTATTCCAAAACCAAGTAAAAATCAACTTTTAAATTGTCCAGTGTTTCTCGACTATTGTACTTATTGAACGAACATCTACGAGAAAACCTCTTAAAAATAAAAACGAAAAAAGATATACAAACCCAAAAAGTAAAAAAGAAAAAAGAAACGCTTCAACAATTGGAAAAATACAATTTGTTACTTTTTATTTCTTATAGGGAACTTGTTTTCGTTAAACGTGAGTTTTAATGAATCCAAAGTTTTGACATCAGTTGGACTAGTTGCACCACTAGATAAGCTCTTACTTTCTACACTGGCAGTGTCTTCTTCTACTTGCAATGAACTTTGTCCACTCTAAAAAATGTAATACATTAAAAAAAAATAAAAATACATGGCTAAGTTATAAGTATAACATAAACATATCGAGCAACCTATTGACGATAACACTATACGTTTACTGATTGTTTTAAAAGCGAAACTTTTTCAAATCATACATTTTAAAAATATGTGCAAACTATTTTCAAGAAAGAAAATAGTCATTGAGTTACATTTATGCGGAGCGTGGAGATGGTTGAGTTGAATATACACTGCAACAAATTTAAGTGCACTGTACAGTGTGGAGGATTGAGTTTATTAAATGTCACTTAATAATTTTTTTGAATAATTTGAATTTGGAATATTTAAAAAATTAAAAAAGTATAAATATATGTCGACTTAATGGCTCAATGGGCTAGAGGATTCGCATTGGCATCAGTAGTTTAGGATTCACGATTCGAGTCACACTCCAGTCAGACAATTTTCAAACGCAGCAGCATAAAATCCGAAGTGTATCGCATCACAAAGAGTTAAGTCGAAACTTTTGTGCAAACAAAATATTTGCATTGTGATATAATATATTCTCTGTGATATAATATACAGTCGGTCCGCCGGAGCTTTGCACAAGTATGACATTATTCACGAATCATTTTTTATGTTACGTCTCTTTCCTACTCACAGAAACTAAAACTATTAACTTAAACCGCCTGTCCATACACAACACCATGCATTGAACAAAGACAGACATAGAACAATGATCGCTGATTGATTCGTCTACTGACAATTGACATGTCAATTGGAAATTTTGTTTTGACAGAGTTTATAATATTTTTATAAATTATTAAGGTACGAATTCATGTATTAGCTAATAACGAATAATATATTTTTTTTAACCTCTAAATTGACATTAATTATTTAAATATAGCTAAAACTCCGTCAATGCCCAATATAAAATATGCTTATATTCAATAAAAATACTTTAATTTCTGATTACTATGGTTTAAATATTTATTTAATGTAGATGTTATTGGACAACTTGGAAAATCACGTTCATAAATGTATACGTCCCCAATTTTTAAAATGCAATAAATGAAATAAAAGAGAAGTATAAAAACGTCAATTGTAATATTAGCCATTTTCTAATTTTTATAATAATTCTTATAGCCGACATACGTTTGACTCACATGTTTTGATTTATTTCCTATAAGAATGATGACGATGTGCAAAGATCCGGCGGATCGACTGTACATTTTCCCTTCTCAATTAATTATGCCTTTTCACGCTTTGGGTCATACTGTAAACAAATGTTCAAATTTTCGCTGAAATTGAAGGTTAGCGATTTTAACAAATAAAAAATAAGCATCTCCAACTCTTTGGTTATTTTCTGAAAATGTTACTATTTTGTTGCCTTTCACGCCCAAAACATGCTTGTGAAGCAGGCAAAAGGTCTTGTAGATCATAAGCAATAAACTCATTTGAGCCATACAAATAACCGAGTCTGGACATTCCGTAGAAAAAATCCCGGCTAGCTAGGATTGGGGTACATACCAAGAGCAGGGAGCTCATAAGGTAGTAGCTTTTATACCTATACGTGAGAAACTGACATAAAAAGCTAGTCCTCTAAGTCTGACGTCATTTATAATAAAGTCAATGCCCGATAGGCACATTAGAGATGGTATATTGGTTGAAAGTCCCATACATCAGGGATAATATACATTCTGGAAAAAAAGAGGTGCGGTTGATTATTTTTCTCGATGTAAAGTGTGCATTCGACAACACCTACTTTAGAAAAATCGCACGGACAATTCGGTTGAATGGGATAGACGAAAAAACTTCAGATGTATATACTGCATGCCGAAGAACCATGTGATACATACTGAGGAATAATCGGTGCAAGGTAAGTTGCAAAAACTAAAAGCATACTAGAAGGGCAAAGGGCATACTAAAAGCAGCTATGGAGGCGCCACTTGATGCCCTCTTCTGGGAATCGTTGTAGTACGAGATTACTCACATTACAAACTCACATTATGCATGCATTGAAGAACAGTAGAATAAATTGATCACTGGTTGACAGTTTTTTAATATGATGATATAAGGTTGCCTGGTTTGACAAGGATGGCGATTATTACGTAAGTAAAGTGTGCATTTTAGAAAAATGGGAAAGTGTATTTTTAATTATATGTATATAATATGTATATTATTAACACTATCTATCGACGTATGCACAATGGCTTTAAAAACTGACATCCGCCAAGTCAAACCAGTGGCGTTAGGCGCTAGCTATTTTTTACTCTGTGATACCTCGCGTTTCTTACTACTGGCAACCCTAATTTGTGACCATTTTTCTCAGGCAACCTTATATTATCGTATTAAAAAAATAGCTTTAATTTTATATAAAAAAACATGCATATACGTCATGAGCGGCGTATTTTATTTAAAAAATAAATGAATGAAATTTTTATTCAAAAATTAATTACCATCAATTTAATTAAAACTATTTGCGGCCACTTTTGACTGGCAACCTGTTATTAATTAATGTATTCTCCTATTTTTAAAAGTATGTAAAAATGTCAGTTTGATTAACTACGTTATGAACGTAGTAATTTTGCAGTGTCTTAGACTATTGTAAAGGGAGGGGAGAACGAAATATTATAAACTGTGAGAAAACTTAAATAACGTAATTGTTAGATCAGGACATATCAATATTACACACGGAATTAGCAAAGCCGTATGACGACTTATGACCGTATGGTACACAAATATAGGCCCAAAATACCTCTACAGGTGGACATCCAACCATGAAAGTAAGGGTAACCCATCGTGAGTGTAAGTAATCTTCTCGGGCGTGAACGTGAGCGTGACTCACGACAATTCGCAATTGGACCTCCCCACCCATTGCATCAGTTGCCATAATTTACGTTACAGAACCAATCTCAGGTCTACTACACAGGTGTGAGTACAATTCCTACACATATCTCCTCTCTCGCGCGAAACTAGATGACACAAACTACCTCTATCAGTATTTATAAATATTTTGAAATATCGATAATTAATGGATTTTTTAAAATTTACTTACGATATTATTAGATTTTATCACTTTCTGTGATGGCTCGTATAAACGCTGGAAATCGACATCTAAAAACAATTCGTGCAACACTCGCCTCGTGGGCGACCTGTAGATGCTCTCGGAACATATTTTACAAACTTCCGAGTAGACGCAAATGTCTCTGAACGCTTCGGGTTCACGCTGCTTCAGGCGAATGAGATGAGATTTGACGTATTTGTTCGAGATTGGATTCGCTAAACGTTCAACGTTCTGAAGGATTTCGATTTTAATGGGGTCTGAAAATTGAAAAAAAAAACAAAAATTAATAAAATATCCAATTGTATATAAATTGTTTATATAAATACACATTTTTACTCTCAAATCCGTAAACGGCAACAATAAGATTCTACGTCCTCATAGTACCACCAATTGCCTAAATTACCTAATTAAGCCAATATTCTTGTACCTTTATATCCTTGTACCCCTTACAGGTGGCGGTTGTATCTATTTTAGCTACTAATCCTATTTCTCCATGTGTTACGATCCTTTGCCAAATCTTTTATTTCTTCTAAACTTTTACCTGCCTTTGCTTCCAATTCTATTCTATTTTCTTAACTTCTAACCTTACGACATGCAAAACGATTTGAATGTTTATTTCTATTTTCTATTTTGGATTGGTCGTGGTGGTCATTTTCCTTGGCCACCACGTAGCCCAGAATTTAATCCGCTAGATTTTGGTATATGGAGCGCAATGAAACAACGTGTCTACAAGAATCCCATAAGCACTCGCAACCAACTTTGGGAAGAAATAAATACTGCAGCAGTTTTATTGAACCGATGATGCTATTTAATATGAGACGATCTTTTATGGAACGGATTGATAAATGTAAAAGAGTTCAATCTTAATTAGTAACTATTTCTTAATTTGGTTTGAAAAATAAAATGTTTATGACTTTAATTTAATATAAAACGTAAAATGTCAAATCCAATTATCCTATTATTTTGTCAAATCATATTATTAATTATCCTGTTGATATATTTATTTTATTTAATATTTCATTAGCTACTATTAACTGTATTAAAGATATTTCATACCAAAATTAAGAAGTATTAATGTTTTTGTCTATTTTTCTTTCGTTGCCTGGAGTAATTGCGGTAAATCAGAATTATGCAGGTGATTTCTAAAATGCGATTATCTCGAAAACTGTTTAGTTTTAAAGTTATTAACAGGTATACCTTTTTTATGTTAAAATAATGTATCTTTAATATTTTTTATCAAAAATATCGATAACTTAAAGAGCAAAAAAGTTAGGTGCAAATTTATGCCACATCATAATATTTTAAAGTGTAGAATCTACGGTTTCTTTTTGTACAATTACTTAAGGACCACCCTGTATTTATTTTGAAAACTAAACATATTATGAGAGAAAATAATATTATAAAGATTACCTTTTATAAAATCAATAGCCTTATCGTGATTCTCCGGCCGGCTGCAAACAAAGCAACCTTTTTTCGAATGTTGCCATACTTTTTCATCATTCGAATTTTTTCTCAGTGGATCTTGGAAAATGCAAGGCGTCCTGGTAATTTCTTCTTGACTAGGAAAAATCTCCATTAAAAATTTCGGCAGGCAAATACCCATGTACCGTTTATCGTCATGGGATGAGGTTAAGGTTTCTATTTCGAACTTAGGAACGCTGAATACTGAAGTAAAACTAGAATTAAACAAGTAGAAGTCGTCGAATAACGAGCTGCTTGGTCTAAAAAAAAATAATCATGTATTTATAACTGAAATCGAAGAAAAATATTAAAATTTGTGAAAACCTTCCATTAAGTCAAATTAATGAAATTGTAACTGAATGTTCAAAAGACATATAAAAAATAATAATTTTGTAAAAATAAACCGGAGACCTGAACATGCATAGTAAATTGTAGTATGCGAAACCGGTTCTCCGTTATCATGGACGTATAAACATAGATGGACACAGCAATAAGATACCTTTAATATACAATGTTTTAAAGCTTCGATAGAATGTGATGCTTCCGCAATGAGCATAAGCGTGCTTGAATTATTACTCGCGGGTAATTATTCAGATTTTAAAAATTGGAAGTAGTAATAATGTATAAAAACACGTTCAAAGAATTAAAAAAAAACGAGAGTTTAACTATTAACAAATCACGTCTTTATAGAAAAATTAAAATACAATTTTATTTGATTTAAAATTAATACAATAAAATATAGTTGAATTCAAGTTAATTTTTAATAGGTATCAAAATATTGCTACAATAAAAAATCTTTATGTTTTCTCCTAAATTTGCTACCAAAATAGTTCGATCGTCAATATTATTTGGAAACCTACATAGAAAAATAAATGAGTTTTATTCATTTCACTAATTTATTTGCATCCATGAGAAATATTAAATTAAAAAGGTACTAAATAGATCTTTTTTAATCAGATGATGCCTACTTACAATTAAAAATGTCTACTAATTTCATGAACTTATATCTTATTTAATACATTAATGAACATGAATAAACCCAATGGTACGCCTATTAAAATGTAAACAAACACGCTTTCTCATTTCCTCATCTTAAATAATGTAAATTTTATGTACTTACAAATGAAATGAGAGATCGGGATTTAAATATTTTGTTTATTTTATTTCACTTTTCACAAATATCACTCAAAATACAGCCAAAATATCGAAAAACAACTTTTACTGAAAAATAAACAAACATGGAACAGCATTTGAAGTTTGACATAGATCCATAAGACAGAGAAATGTAAACAACCGTTGCCATTTATAAATAGTTTTCAGTGCTTCTACATATAAAATAATTGATTGTATCTAAATTATACGTTATTATTAAATGATAATGCACACTATGTGCACACTTTATATTTTGATTACAATTAAATATATTAATCTAACCAATAAATTATTATTTTGGTTTGATAAAATTAAAATCCTTATGCAGACAACGCAAGCCTGATCTCAGATATCAGAGATAAGCTACAGAGAATGGTACAAACGTTCAAAAACAGCGCCTTAGATACACAATATGATAATATCTACCTCTAAGACGAGGTCTTTAGTGGTGGCAGAACTCTCTTCAGATGCAAACGTTTGCGGGAGATGACAGGAATGGAACCAGGTATTTGCAAATGGATATTGAGAGACAAGCCCGAATTTACAACTATGAGTATAGCCTTAAGACAGAAGACAAGAATAGGTCTAAGGCCCAATAATTGATTGACTTTGAAAATATTAACCATTGTTAAGATATTTGAATATTTCTAAATCCATGCTTCAGTATTGCTAAATACTGAAGATTACAGTATACCTAACGATGAGTAGATACAAAGCATCTAATGTTTTCTACCATAAGAGTATCATGGGAAATTGATAGCGCCATAATATTTAGTAAAAATTGGACGTTTATGAAATATTTGATATTGTTACTAATCGATTCTTGTTTTCCTACTTTAGTAAAAACGCCAGACATAATAACTTGTCAAAGAAAGAAATTATATATTAGATTGAAATTTACGCATAGAAAATGATATTTTCATTAGCCAGACACTCATTTTCGCGTATCGTCAAAAACAGATCAAAGACCTCTCTGACTGTCCTATTTAATCTACAAAAAGAATATCAATCATTGTAGTGCCATAAAATGTTATTTGTAATTTTGTACAATCTCATTATGTTATCAATATTCATACGTCAAATTAACTTCAAAAAGCCTACGATAATAAAAAGTCTTTATCAAGAACTAAGAGCAGTTGGAATTCCAAAAAATATGACTAGATTTATTAGAATAATATTAATTCAAACCAAGTAATGATAGATGGAAATAAGGAAAAACAAGGACTGAAGCAGGGGGGACAGTAGAAGAATTAACACCAGCGAAAGAAAAAACAGAAGCCATGTTTTTGAATTTTCGCGACACAGTACGAGGTTTGTCTTTTTAGTTATGCATATAGCCGCTTAGATGGCGCCACCAATAAACCCTTCCGACACAAATGTAACCTCAATCTTTTGTTCACATAAATCGAGAGTTTCATTGCGATAAAACAAGTCCTGTAGATACAGTGAATTTTTGAAATTAGCAAGTCGGTCAAAAATTCAAGCAATAATTTTTTACAATTTTCGGAAAGGATTATACCAACAACACTGTCTCGCTGAAACGGTTTCTGTGTTTGGGAATGAAGTACCACACCAGTCAACTATTTCCTGCTGGTATTGCGAATTCCAACGTGTACGCTCCAGTCTCAGCGACGAATCCAGGCAGCTCTACCCAAACACAGCAGTCACACAGTAAAACATTGATGCGATTCGTCAGCTTATTAAGGATAAGCGCCGTGTAACATACCGGGAGATAGAGGCATCTTTGGACATTTCAAAGACCTCGATGCAAAAGATCCTACATGAAGAACTGTATGTGACGAAGTTGATTTTCAGTTGGATCCCTCATTTGCTCACAGAAAAGCAAAAGGCGGTTCAAGTCAATTGATATTCAAAAACATTGGAACGGTTCAACAAAGGAAGCTCAAAAAACGTTGACTAAACCAACAAAAGTGATCCGTTCTCGAAGTGGGTCAAAGAAAATGGTCGCAACTTTTGTGTCAAATCTGGTCATGTGGCAACAATTGCTTTAGAAGATCGAAGAATGGTTACTTCTGATTGGTATGTAACCGTTTGTTTACCAGAAGTTATAGCGAAACTCCGACAAAGCAAGACACAAATGCGAATCATCTTACATCAGGACAATGTAAGTGCTCTCACACTGCCCAAAAGAAAATAGAGTTTTTGGAGCTTCAAAACATAGAATTGTTAAACCATCCACCGTATAGCCCCGACCTAACTCCCAAAGACTTCTTCACATTCAAAAAGATCAAGAATTCAATGCGTGGACAGCGATTCAGGTAGCCAGAAGAAGTCATCGATGCGTTTAAAATAGTGATTTTGCAGGTATCAACTGAAGACTTTAATAACTGTTTTACCATTGGTTTGAACGTATCCAAAAGTGTATCAATCTTGGTGAGAGATATTTTGAAAAGCAATAAAGTAATTTAAGTCTACATATTTTTTATCTTTGTGGCTATATGCAACGCTAAAAAGACAACTCACGTAGTAATAGCAAGAAAGAAAAGATAATTGCTAAGGATATTTAAACTGTTAAAAGGTGACACTCAGCAATATAGACGAATTATTGATATAAAAAAGCTAAATTTGGTATTTATAGATCTTGAGAAGGCGTACGATATAGTACGTTCCTAGACAAGAGCTATGGAGATGTATGGGAGAGAAATGGGAGATTATCTTTTTGGGAAATGGGATAGGGATGTTTTTCTCCAAGTTCTTACAGCTCCATTCTTATGCGAAGAATGAAGCTGTAAGAACTTGGGAAAAAGAGGTAGAGGTAGACCGAAGAGAAGATGGAAGGACTATGTGGCAGAGGAGTTGAGGGAGAAAGGTTTAGTTGAAGAAGACACGATGAACAAAAATTTTTAACAAGTGGCGAAGAAGATTAAGGTACAGCGAATCCTAAAAAGGGAAAAGCTGAGGAAAAAGAGTGATATAAATGAGAAAGTAATGGCACACAACTCAAAAAAGAGCAAGCGATTGCAGCAATTTGAGTACCTAAAAAATATGGAACAAGAAAGTCAGGAAATTGAGAAGAGAATTGCGAAAAATGAGAGCTGTGTACAGAACAACCAGTATAGAAGACGCACAAATTGAAATATTATAACAAAAACCAAAAATTAGTAAGATTATTAAGAGGATTGACTTGGTTGAATCACATGACGAGGATGACTGTTAGAACATGGGCCAAGTATTTCTTGGACTCCAAAGTAAAGAAAAGAGCAGCATAACTACTAAAAACTTACTAGATACGTGAAAGGAAGACCTACGAACAATAAAGAGAAGAATGAAGTGGAGAAAAATAATACCAATGCTTTAGACAATAATAATAATTATAGTCGACTCTAAATATATAACGTCCATTGCCACAAATGCGACCTTTAATCTGAAAAAATAAACAATCACTTGTGCAAAATAATTTAGAATTCGCATCCTCTAATGAATTTGTTGTTTTTCCTTTAAATACAAAAAGAAAAAAGAAGAGCAATTTCCGTTTAATATTTTTTATCGTCGACAATTTTAAACTGTAATGATATGCATGTGTTCGGTCAGTCTATTCATAATTCCGATAGACTGATAAAATATAAAATTTGCAATGAGTAATTGGTAGTTACAAGTACTCATCTTTGAAAGAAGTAGGGTTTCGATGAGTACTTTATATCTGGAGCCTACTTTATAAGTTATAATCGATGAAAAAAGGAGCTAATAAAAATATGTCTCTTGTTGTTAACTTACCTTGAATGGGAAGCTGTGTTAAATAAATAATAATCGTCATAATTTATTTTATCGTAATTCATGCCTTCCATTCTTCGCAGAAGTTTTAAAGTATTGTATCCAACGAGGTTTTGAACACTTAATTCATTCGACGCACTACCGGTTAACGATGACGTTGAGATGTCGGAATTTGTGGTACCTAAGAATAAAATAAATTTTTTAATACTTGCGTTAACGGTATCAAAATAAAATTTTGACCCCAATTCATTCATTTCCTAACTAAGACAATAATTGGAACGCTTCAGGAATGTCTTACATTAGTGAAAAATTATGACTATAGAAAATGTCACACCGAGAGTGCAGTACGGCTAATATAGGAATGCACAATTGCCGGATTTCACGCCTTGTGCTTGGCGATACAAACAGGTCCAAGTGGTACTCACAGAACCGTACCCAGATCTCTACGCCGGGCTCTGTTATTTATTATAAAATAATATATTGATAAAATAATTGCCTTTAAGTAGCCAAATAAGACGCATGAATTTGAATAAAAAGACCGTAAGTTTTTAGCGAGAATTTTATTATAAAACTGTATACTTTATTTAAACTAACAAATGTATTTTAAATTACATTTCTTGATAGCTATAAATATACCGGGTGGAACCTCCGGTAACTCGATCTCAACTCTCCGGTAACTTGAAATGGTCTTTTCGCAAACGTCGTATAGTTCTCAAATAATTACGGCGCCAATGAATAATATCCTCTCGCTCCACCATGATGATTTTTCGGCCACGTTTCTTATAAACAAATCCAATATCTTTCAGACGTCTGTATAACGTAGAAAGAGACAACGGCTGTATATTCTCATTACCTTGTATGAAGTTATATGCTTTACGAATGGCGGCAAATTTTTCATGAAAAATTCACAATGAACAATTCTCCATAGAATACTTCTTACACCCTCGTCATATGTGAATATTCTAGAATTTGATTGACACACTCGTTTTTTACGTTTTTTTGGCGATTTCAACGTTCCACTCTGTTCTTTTTCTTTTTTGAAATTGTAAATGCTTCTTTCGCTAACACCAGTCATTAACGAAGTACGTCTTGTAGCACTTACAGTAAGTTGTTCCGTATTTTGTAAAAAACACAACACATTTAACACTACGAGTTTAGCGCAACCGTTAAATAATTCACCGGATTTAAACTTATGGGACTTCATGCTCTCTGTTGAAACTCGGACTAAATTTTGAAGTGTAGTTTCGTTTTCCAAAAGCACTTTCACCCCTACCCATCCTTAGGATGGGTAGGGGGTGAAATAGGGAAAGCTTGGAGTTTACTAATGGAAACTAATGGGAAAATACTAATTATGACAAACAAGTTTATGGCCATATTTAGGTGATTATGTTAATGATGGTAATTTGTAGCAGAAGTTTTACAAAAGAAATGAAGACTTATTTATAGAAACAACATAACTGTATTTTTAATATTTTACATACAATAGAAAAAATCTAATTTCTATGAAAGAATTGGAAATTTGAATATTATATATAATATCTATAAATAATATCATTTCCAAGTTTCCAAATTCTTTCCTAGAAATTATGTAGGTTTTTTCTATTTTATGTAAAACATTAAAACTACAGTTATTGTATGTTGTTCTTGTAAAGAGGTGTTCAAATGTTATTCTTATGAATATGATTCAGTTGTATATCTCATGTTGACGTTTTATATGCAAAATTCATAGTTTTCGTTGTCAATAACTCGCCTTTTTATTCTACTGTATAGGTATACATGATATAAAATATTTTACTCGTACTGCCGGCAGATGCATTTTATCCAAGCCGGTCCTGTAAGACAATGGGCAATCAACAGCTGGAGAAAACCGACAACCCTGCGCGTTTATTCTCCATAAGAAAAGCATTGCCGTATCTTACCCGTACTGCACTCTCAGTGTGACATTTTCTATAGATCTTGATTATTTATATTTAATCTGATGAAATGTTAATACTGGTAAAATACTTCGGAAGATCCAACCTCGCGTGATATGTGCCGACTTTACCCGAAGATGTGAACAATGACCTGATTATGCTTTTTATATAATTATTATTATAAATAAATTATTATAAAGTACATATCTGCTACCGCTGCGCTACTGACGGAGTGGATAATTATGCAAACAAGGCGATCGGGTACGATAATGAGGATCTGGGCTGGATCTTCCTACGTGGCGCGTACAGTTATTAACCACACACAAATAATAAACTCATCGAAATACTTACTTGTAGATGATATTCTGTGAGAAACTCTTTTGAACTGTGGAGGTAATTGTAACGTACTTAAACTAGAGGAACTTGGAATAGGACTTAAAGTTTTCACGTAGGTACCACTAAAAACAAATAATAAATAAATAAAAAACTACAATTGAACTATACCAACAGAAAATTTTGACGACTGCACTGGTGTTCCAACCAGAGGTAGGGATCTTGTTGTGTTAGTTGTGTTACAGTAAAACTGTGTTAACTGCCACCTGTCAAAACCGACCACTTGTACTAGCCTGCCGTTTCAAAGTTCCCCAAACCAAAATGAGTGGACTACAATACCAGGAATTAGCGGCCACCTATTTATATCGGCCAATAGTTCTGTCATCTTTAGTGACCGTTATTGACAGGTTTTACTGTATTTATTATTACCTATCATTCACAATAGAAACACTAATCAAAATGAAAATTATTTTCATTATTGAAAGCATTGACAAGTTTCTGTTTCAGATGATTAAGCTGGTTCTTTCAATGAACACATTGCGGTTGACAGGAATTTTCTGGATTTTTAAAGAATATAACACTCTTTTTTTTTAATAAAAACAGTACAATGTCGTTCATCTGTTTTTATCGAACCCCCCGAGTTTTTTATACGTTCCAACGTAAGAAACTTTATGGTTTTGAAAGTTAAATGTGCGTTTTTCTCGGTTTTATGAAATTTTGACATATCTGGTTTTTTCCCTGTAGTCTTCAATTAAGAAAAGTGTTTTAACGTTCACATTAAAGATATTGGCGACGTGCAAGTACTTAGATGTGATACGAGAAACGATCGTGCGCGAGTAGCGGAGAAATCTTGCATTTTTTACTGCATATTTAATAGATTTCATAAATTCATATTGTCAATTGGCAAATTGTCATATTTCATATTCGTTTATTTATTTACACCTTCTGTCACTGAAGAAAATGGGATTTAGTAATTGCTGTGTTATAAATTGTAAAAATACAACAAATAATTGTTGAAAAGTTATTTGGTGATTTACTTTCTCAAATCCAGTTTTTATTATTGCATCCATATTCACAGTAATGCTGTAATTTAATAATATATTTATTTGTATTTACACTATATATACAACGTTTACCTTTTAATAACATACCGATATAACCTCAATCTTACTTTTTTTTTCTTATTCTTTTTTGGGGCTACGTCCTTGACAGTTATCCGGTAACCTCGATCTAACATGAAAGCGCAGTAAATTTTGCTGATTTACGACACCAGATGTCGCTCTTCCAAACTTGCACGGTCCCAATACCGATCTGCCATTTTTTTGATGATGTTACATGTACTACCTAAGTATACTGTTTATTGAAAAGCTTTTTCATAATGTCTGTCCATTGCTGTGGAGCTCTGTCGCGTTGGTGTTGACTCTGAGGCCTTCCTTGAACTACCAACCGCTCTATTTTGTAATCACTTCGATGGATATGGCCAAAGAGTTCTAGAATTCTAGAGTAAACAGTACTAAAGAGACGCTGATTGGGTTTAATTTTATCTAGAACCGAGACATTCGTGCGGAGAGCCGTTTATGGAATTCGAAGCAGTCGTCTCCATGTCCACATTTCTAAAGCGTCTAAGCGTCATCTATCTGATTCTTTAACTGTCCATGTCTTACCTTGCACCCCGCAATAGTTAAGCTTTAAGGAAATTGTTGTTGACGATCAATAACCAGGATTTTGGTTTTGCTGATCCAAACTTGACGAGTTGATGAGTCCAAACTCAGCACTTTTTACCTCGACTTTTTCTAATAAGTTAGACATTTTTTCTGGAGTAGAGGCTAGAAGTGTAGTGTCGTCTGCGAAACGCAATCTTGATAACGCCTAGGTTTACTCCTCCGTTCCAACCATCCAAAACTGTTCCATTTAACATTATCAAAAAATTTTGTATAATCAACAAAACATATAAATATCGGGATTTGATATTCTCTGGCTTTTTCTGTTTCTTCCATTAAGAATGTGTTTGCTAGTATCTCTATATGTTAGAGATATATAAATAATTTGATGTACTCGTAGATATATACTAGACATAACATGGAAGGCGAACTATAATCGATTTTATAGAATTAATGTGATTTCTCTGCTACAAGTAGATATGAAGAAACAATATGTTTTCGTGGAGCAAATTTAAAAGTAAAATGTAACTTTACACTTACCAAACGCCGGGCTTATTTAATAAAGAATCGCAGGAACTAACGCCGGAAGTTGTAGATTCTGTCATGGAACTATTTCTATGTCTTCCGGTCGTGATAAACGGTACAGAGGGCGGCCGAATATCTTCATAAAAACCGTTATTAGTTTCGAAAGTTTTCGATTCTGATAACGATCTCTTATGAATCCCAATCTGGGGTCTTTTACTTGTAGGCAGTGTAGATTGTCTGATTCTTCTACCTTCTGAAATAAAAAAAATAGCAAAAATCAAAATTATTCTATAAAAAAGTGGTCTACAGTGGTTATAGTCTAGTCAAGATCTGTACAAAAGCTATATATTATAACTAGTATTTGAGTTATATCATACAGTTGAAAAAGCTATGGAAAATTCAGAAAAGTATTTTCAAGAAAAAAAAGCTGGTACAGACTCTTACTTTGGAATCTTTTATCTTGAATATTTCGAAAAGTATGTTATATAAGATAAAAATGGATTACAGTAAAGTTATTCGCAAGTAAATTTCCTGGTCCTGTTTCCTATAAATCAAAACATGTTTATGAAAATATAAAAAAACTTAAGTGAGAAAAAGATAAATTCACGAAAAAAGTTGTAAAAATAACGTTTTGGAAATTTACTTACATAAAATCGCGAAACTCTTTACAGTTTCTGAAAATTTGATATTAAAATTTGAAATTATCTCCAAAAGAAAGACGTAAAGAAAGATGGGATAAATAAATGGGATATGCTTTTGTTCTTGCATAATAATTTTGCAATCCATTTCTCTACAGAATATTCGAAAATTTTCTCTGCTTAGAAGATATAGAAGATTATTTGTTATACAATCTCTAATTTTTTACGTACAACCGAGCAAAAATAGTTATTTATGTACCAAGGGTATTAAATAGATGTTTATGCCCAGGGGGCGACGATGTTACAAACACGAGTGCTTTTGGCCCGAGGGTTTGTAAGTCGCCCGAGGGCATATACATCTATTAATATCCGCGGTGCATACAAACATTTATGTCATACTAGTTGGTTATTGCATGTAGAAATAAATATGTTCTAAAAAATCCGAAAATTCGATTTCATTTTGACAATATATTTACTAGTAGACATTCTATCGTCCGCGTTATGTTGCTACGCTACGGAAATGCTGGCAAACGTGTCAAACTAAAACCGTGAAAATGGAGGGATCTCAAAAAAGATATTTTTGATATCTCTAACCAAATTTAAAAAAAGCGGAAATAGCAACGCAAAAGTTACTACCACGTAAGTCGAGAGATGACTACGATAAGGAATATGAAAAATTACAACACTGGATGACAGAAAACCATGTAGAACACATTAGTGAAACTGTGTACTTGTATACTTCGCCGATCTCGCCGAAAAACATTTTCTCCTAGTTCCCTGTAGTCCAAATATTCAATGGTAAAGAAGACTTTAATCTTTAATAAGAATATTAACATTAAAGTTATGTTTTGAAATGTTTAATAAAGATGTTTCTAATAAGCTTTTTTTTGTTTGTATCTTTACGCCCGCGCGGGCATAAAGTAGGGCTAATAACATAGGTATGGGTAGCGGGTAGGAACTCTTTAAACTCTTGAGATAGTCCTATCAGGGAAAATGAATCAATCCCTGCCCTCCGCAGATTCCGGGGGTTTCCTGACCCGGGAAACTACTACCTGTTTAGGGTCCCTTGTCCAGGGTTACGGATGAAGTCCACAACGGCAAACACGGCGGAGAAGCGGAGCTTCGGTACGGTGTGGATGGCGGAAGTGGCAACCCTCGATTTTAGGGTTGATATAGAACTCCTTTTATTGGCCAACGGTTGCGGGCGGACGAGCTAGTAAGAGACAAGGGCACTCTTTTGCCCTGAGACTGAGAAATCGATCTTGAAGGCGGACGAGCCGAGAAAACGGCCAACAGCGTAAGAATGCAGAAGGCAACGGGAAACCACTGCATTAAAGACTCTTGGAGTATCCCTAGAAATCGTCATGGCTAATAAAAATGACAATCAACAACCTACTAATCATGGTTCTCGGATGCCAAGATTCGGCAGGGGAAGAAACAGCAGTAACGACAGGGCTTCCCAGGCCGTTAGTCAGCGAAATCCCTGTTCACTAAATATATACAAATCCACTTACAAAATAGCTACATGGAATGTAAGAAGTATGTATGAACCTGGGAAACTAAGAAATATACAGCAAGAGATGATGCGACTAGAGATCGATATATTAGGAATAAGCGATACAAGATGGGTCGGCTCTGGCGAAATCAATACAGACAATGGACGAATTTATTACTCTGGAAGCAGCGACACCCAACACAGATATGGAGTTGCTATGATCCTCACTGAAAAACTAACGAGATCAGTAACAGGCTTCGTTCCGATATCTGAAAGAATTATAATGGTGCAATTATTGACAACCCATGGAAAAATGAATTTAATTCAGATTTATGCACCAACTGCTGACAAAAATGAAGAAGAAATAGAAAACTTTTATAGCGAACTTCAAAAAACATTACATCTCACAGCATCTAGAGACGTAACAGTGATCATGGGTGATTTCAACGCAAAAATTGGCGAGGGAAAATGCTACCCTAATGTAGGACCATATGGGCTTGGTGAACGAAACGACAGAGGGATCGCCTAATAGAATTTTGCCAGGAGCACAATGTTATAGCCGCAAATACATTCTTCAAATTACCTAAGCGACGCCTTTATACATGGAAATCGCCAGCTGACAAAGACAACAAAATCGTCAGAAATCAAATTGATTACTTCCTAATAAAACACAGATATCGAAACTCAATTCAGGCAGTAAAGGCATATCCAGGAGCGGACGTATCTTCTGATCATAGTCTTCTTATTGCTAGATTTCAACTTCAACTAAAAAAGACAAAAAAAAGCCGCAATAACAATAAACTTAACATACAGAAACTAAAGTCAGAAGAAACAAAAGAAAATCTGAAACACGAAATCAACACAAATCTAGACAGAAACCCAGGAAATAACTGCAACGTAGAGCAGCAGTGACAATTCTTCAAAACCTCTATATTGGAGCCAAGTAAGAAACTACTTACAACAACTAAATATAAGAAAGAAGAATGGATGACAGAGGAAATTCTAGAGTTGATGAATGAAAGGAGAAAAAACAAAACCATCAATAAGACGCGCTATAAACAGCTTCAAAACCAAATAAGAAGAAAAATTAGGGAGGCTAAAGAGACCTACTTCTCTGAAAAATGTAAAGAAATAGAAGAACTTCAAAACAGATATGACAACTTCAACCTACATAAAAAAGTCAAAGAACTAGCCGGAGTAGGAAATAGAAGAACCTCAAATATATTGCTCGACAAAAATGGAAATATTATATTGGAAACAGAACAAAAACTACGACGATGAAAAGAGTACATCGAAGAATTATTTCATGACCAGAGAGAAGCTAGTACATCTGTAGATAGCCAAACGGGAGATGTAGGTCCAGAGATAACCAAATCAGAGGTTAGTCAGGCATTAAACTCAATGAAAACCAATAAATCTGCTGGTCCAGATGAATTACCAAGCGAGCTACTAAAGTTGGTCAACGAGAAAAACCTGGACATAATAGTAGAACTATTCAACGCTATCTATACTACGGGAATCATTCCTAGAGAAATGTTGACATCAGCATTTGTGTGTTTGCCAAAGAAGATGAATGCCAAAGAGTGTAGTGACTATCGAACCATAAGCTTAATGTCACATACCTTGAAAATTCTCTTGAAAATTATCCACGCCAGAATACACTCTAAACTGGAGCTGGATATTAGTGACACTCAATATGGGTTCCGCAATGGTATGGGTACCAGAGAGCATTATTCTCCTTCAATGTGCTGACACAGAGATGTTTGGATGTTAACCGTCCTCTTTACGTCTGTTTTATAGACTACAATAAAGCGTTTGATAAAGTAAAACATGATTGACTCCTGGAAATTCTAAAAAATAAAAACCTAGATGAAAGAGATTTAAGGCTAATAACACACCTCTATTACAATCAGCGAGCAATAGTAAGAATCGAAAATAAAGAGAGGAGTCAGGCAAGGCTGCATTCTATCACCTCTATTATTTAACGCCTATTCTGAAGAGGTAATTCGAGAAACTCTGGAAGATGAAACAGTCGGCATAAGAGTAAATGGAGTCTTAATTAACAACATCAGATATGCAGATGATACAGTAATAATAGCCGATAGTTTACAAGACCTGGAAAGACTCATGAACAAAATAGTCATGTGTAGTAGGGAGTACGGACTCTCTCTTAATGTCAAAAAGACGAAGTTTATGAAAATTTGTAAAAACAACTATAATACTAACGAAATCTTGATAGTAGAGGGCCAGCAGATCGAAAGAGTAAAAAAGTACACTTACCTAGGAACACTTATAACAGAAAATAATGACTACACGGCAGAAATCAAAGTCAGAATCGAAAAAGCACGTTCTAATTTTATAAATATGAAAAAGGTCCTATGTGGCAAAGATCTAACATTAGCTCTTAAAGTACGCCTAACAAAATGTTACGTATACAGTGTACTATATTATGGAGTGGAATCATGGACGTTAAATCTAGATACCATGAGACGACTTAACGCCTTTGAGATGTGGACCTATAGAAGAATTATGAGGGTTTCCTGGGTAGATAGAGTTACAAACAATGAAATACTGAGAAGAATAGGCAAAGAGAAGGAAATTGAACTTACAATTAAAGAAAGAAAGCTACAGTATCTCGGACATGTGATGCGGGGCGATAAGTATGGCATCCTGCGACTCATAATGCAAGGAAAAATAGATGGCAGAAGAAGCATCGGAAGAAGACGAATTTCATGGCTAAGAACCTGAGAGAATGGTTTGGATGCAGCTCAAAACAACTATTTAGAGCTACTGCCTCAAAATTAAGATAGCTATGATGATTGCCAACCTCCGTAGCGGAGATGGCACCTGAAGAAGAACAACAATAACATAGTTGGTAACTAAGCAATAAAAACAATAATAAACTAGTATGACATAAAAAGCTTTTAAACACATTTTGATAAACTAAAGCCCGGCAATTAAAATAATAAGCCTGGTGATTTTTAAATGGGCTATAAAAGTCGTATTTTTTTTCTTTATTCCAATTTATTTGTACGATCTAAACATTCAGAATTTATTGTAAATATTGATAATTATTTTAAATGTTTGAAAAATTATTTTAAATAAGAATATTTTGATTGT